CGCCATTTCCAGCGTACCAACCGTGACCACCGCAAGGGCGCCATCGATATCAAGTGCAATCTCGTCGATGTCGTCCACGGCAAATTCGACACCGACGGAGACGAGTACGCGACCCTCATCGTGCTGCTGTTCCGTTTTGACCCACGGAAGCGTGCCCGGCGCGTGGCCGAGGCGCAAATCTCGCTGGTCTTCGACGGCCTCACAGAGGACGACCCGCGGCCCGTTGTCGAGGCAATTTCCTTCGATGGACGCTATTCCGTCGCGCCGACGACGCAGTCCGAGTCTGTGACCCGGGGAGCCGAGGGCACTCTCGGCCTCAGCGCCATCCAAGGCGCCGAGCTGTCTGGTGGTCTCAAGGTCGAGAAGACGGTGACGCGCGACATGGAGCACTTCACAACGGTCATTGGGTCGGTGGACCTCATCGGCTACAACTACGGCGAGCCCAACTGCGCGACCTGGTCGCTTATCGAGAACGAGGCGCGCGAGACAGGTGTGCCGGCTGCCGTGAGGGCGGGGATCCTGCTGCGACGGACGGAGGAAGAGGCCAGGTTCAAAGCGACGATCAAGATTGAAGTCAAGGCCGATTTTAAAACTTCGATGGAGCGCTTCTTTGGTGGAAAGCCGAAAGATGACCCTGTGCTCTTCGACCCCGCGAAGAAGCCGACAAACAAGCTCATGGTGTACGACACGGAGGATCTGGGGGCCTTAGACCTGGAGAAGGTTTCAGACGTCACGTTCCTGACTGTGAGAGACGGTGCAGTGAAGAAGATTGGATCATCACAGTGACCTTGTTAGGCATTGGTGTCAGGGATCAAAGTCAGGCAGTTCGGACCTCTTTTCAGACTGAATAACATCTGAGGTCATTTTTCGTTGTGACCATGCAAAATGTCTTTGTTCATCCTCGTCAACAGCCCTGAAACCCGTCTAAGTCAAGACATCGAGGCTAGGCTCGGCCCGGGGCCTTGATTCATTGCAAATACCTACCTGCTGCGGGTCTGAGTGACTCGTTTCTGCTACGGCTAATACTACCTAAATTCTTAGCAAAGCTGGCTCGCTCGAACGACATGTCGGATCACACCCAAACATTTATCGCATTCATGATCCCATCCTAGTTCCAGGCTCATGGTGGCATGGATGCTGACAGTGACCAAAGTCCATCCTCTAGACCCTCTCTCAGGGGGGTGCAACATGACGGTCGAGCTGCATGGCTCAGCTGCCCACATTCGGTTCGGGGGGCCCTGGCTTAGCGCTTACAGGTCTTTGTCCTACTCGCCAGCCTTCCAGTGAAATCCATGTCCTGCTTACACCTGGCCGTCCACCCGCCCATCTTCAGTGGTGAGGGCGCCTGCAGCAGAACAGAAGTGGGTTAATTATCACTCGGCGGATTTGGGGGCCGAGGAGCGATCACGTCGCCCTTGGCCAGCCTTTCCAGCAGCTGGCTTGTGTTGCTATGCTGGCGAGTGGTCCGTCTGTCAAGCTGCCATGCCGCGACTTGACTTCAGACGTTATACCTACCTGCTCGTCGTGACTGGACTCCAGATATGAGACGAGACTGATCGTGGCTGTCGCAATGGACACTCCAAAGACGCCGATTGAGGGCAGCGCCTTTCTGCCAGTTGGCGAACCGGATGGTGATGAGGAGCACAACATGAGCGCTGTAGAAAGCGAGCTCGACGATGAGGCGGAGAACGACGACGATGAGACCGATGACGATGATGAGAGTCATGCGTCGTCGGAGGAAGACCCGGAAGTCTCAAAACCCATTCAGACGAAGATCTTCGAAGCGATCGAGAAGATCAAAACGAAGACCTACAAGCTCGGCAATCGCGACCAGCGCAAGCGGTTCTTCGACACCTACGGCGAAGCCATGAAGAACCGAACTGAGGACGACGATCTTACGTTTCTGCACGTTCTTCTCAATACGCGTGACATACCGGTCAAGACGCTCGAGTCGCCCGTCAAGCACATTGTGCAGAAGTACCCTCGACTGCTCCTCGAGGCTGACCGCGAGAAGAAGACGCCGCTGTACATCGCCATCGAGTCCTCCAAGATGAGCCGCCTCGCCGAGATCATGATCGACGGCTGCAAGTACTTCGACAGGGCCCTTGCTAAGCCATGTCGTGAGAAGGGCGAGAACTGCCTGCATCTTGCCATGCGATCGCGACATCTGCCGGGTGCCGTCAAGCAGAAATTTATCAGGCTTGCGCCCAAAGAGGCCATTTACGCTCAGGACAGCAAGGGCTACACCCCGCTCCATTACGCTGTCGAATTCAAGCGTGCGAATGAGGAGCAGCTCGAGGTTGTCAAGCAACTCATCGCCAAGGACGACACGGCATTTCTCAAGGTCACCAAGGCTCCCGATCCCCGGTCGGTGTATCAGTATGCAGAGCACACTCGCCTTACCTACGACGTCCCAAAGGCATCAACAAGGACCCCCACAAGCTCCAGATCAAAGGATAAGAATGCCGACTCGAGGACGCCAGGAGAGCAAGACGCATCCAGGGATCAGCCTGAGCCACAAGCAACGGCAGCGCCCAAGCGTGAACTAGACCCCAAGTCCAAGCGGGAGGCCGAGAGAAAAGCGCGCGAGGAGATAGAGGCGCGACAGAAGAAGGAAGCCAGTTCGCGCCATGGTCAGGGCAGAAACGAGAACCCCGATGTTAAGTCTCGTGAGCCTGTGGGCCCGCCGCCCGTTGATGGATCGCGGAAAGGGGACGCCGTCGATCCGCTAATCCGGTCGCTCACCCGCAAAGCTACTGTCACATTTGATGAGACGGCAAAGGAAAAGTCTTCACGCAAGTCTCGCAAGACGGTCGAAGATCCCAAAGAAGCTGAGGAAACGAAGAAGAAGCTGGAGGAGTGGTCAGCGAAGATCCGTTTGGAGCTCAAGCTGCATTGCATGAGGACCAGAGCTCCGGATGAGACGACACGGTTCTTGTACGGGAAGAATAAGGCTGGTAAGATTCCGCCCTGTCACAGGCGCAGTGTGCTCAGCTTTGGTTGTGAAGGTTGGCTGACGGAGTTCTGACGATCAGGCACACAAATCTGTTTCGAGTACTTCGGCGCTCCAGCTGCCATCAAGTCTCGCGATTTCAAAGCTAGTTTCGAGCACCTCCGTTTTGATGAGGTCCTGCAATATGTTGCCTTTCCTCGTCTTGAAGTCGAGCCCAAGCCGGCTCTACACCCGAGAACTAACGCCGCAGACGAGGACTATCCCCTCGAGAACCTAGGACGCGGCCTGACTGACATGATCTACTTCTTCGACTGGCTTCGCAAGAAAAATGTTAAGCGCATTATCAGAGTCATCGTACAGGAGGTCGACGGTCAGCCTTCGCACAGTGACGAGGCTATCGAGCGGGCATTGGCTGGCTTTCAGGTCGAGGCACTGGACTGGCAGAAGCCAGATCTCGACCCAGATACGATATGTGCCGTCAGCGAAGAACTAAGGGAACTGACGCTCCACTGGCGAGGAAACAATGCCGTGCTGAAGGGCTGGAGTGATAACGACGGCCTTCGCCGGCTGCGGCATCTGGAGAAGGTCCATATGCACATTCATCGGGTAAGCTCTCTCCTTTGCTTGATGACAATTCCCCCACAGCTGCCTGCTGGGTACGATGAGAAGGCAGAAGTTAACCCAATGACCCAGGACCTTGAGACCGTTGATCGATCCCTGCTGTACTTTCAAAGGTTCTGCAAGAGACTCAATGAGGATTGTGTTCCAGCCGCTCGAGAGGCACCGCTACCAACAGACGAGGCTAGGCTGTCCATCTCGATTCCCAACGGCAACGGCATTGGCGATGATGCATCTGAAGTAAGCAGAGATGATCAGGGTGAAAAGATCGAGACATTGGCCTTCGCGCGTCGCAAACCCGTGCAGGTTATCTCACACAACAACGACATCAGAGCAGACACATCCCTTGGCGCTACACCCTCTGCCTCGCAAGCAGAGGCCAAGGCGCAGGCAACTTCTCATCGCTGGCTTGACACAACTGATAACTTTGCTGACATGATTCAAAACGTGTGGATGACTGCCATGCGCAAGGGTCGCGGGGGGCCAACTCGTGACCAACCTCTGCTGAAGCATGTCGTTGTTGCTCTCATCGACGATGGAGTTGACATGCATGATCAATCTCTCCAGGGCAAGATCCTCGATGGTCAAACATTCGACCACGGAGACGACTTCCGCGTTCGTCCATACTGGGTGTCGGAAAAGGGCCACGGTACAGTCATGGCAAACATGATCTGCCGAGTCTGCCCCATGGTCAAGATTGTGGCCATCCGCTTGGATACAAGAGCTTCATCCACTCCAGGCAAGACGAGCATTGTTGTTCGAAGTGCGGCAGAGGTAATTTCAATCTGTATTCATCCTTTTAGTCAGACCACAACTGACATTTTCAGGCCATCGAAGCGGCCGTCGAGAAGGACGCGCACATCATCTCCATGTCCTGGACTGTCGCTCCACCCACCGACACCGAGGATAAGGAGAAGTTCGACGAGGCGATCCGTATTGCTGCCAAGCAGAAGATCCTCATGTTTTGCTCCTCCAGCGACGGCGGCCACTATTCCGACACTGACTACCCGAGCGCCAGTGCCCGCGACAGCCTATTCCGCATTGGCGCCGCCCAAGACGACGGTCTTCCGTACTCGTGGGCTGGGCCCGTCGACAAACTCGACTACATTTTCCCCGGCGTGGAGGTGGTGCAGCGCAGCTCGCGGCCAGCACCAGGTACGCTCGCCAAATGGAAGCCCGAAACAGGGTCCAGCATCGCAACCGCTCTAGCGGCTGGGCTGGCGGCGTTGGTGGTGTACTGCGTCAAGATAGGGGCGCTGCATACGCAGAGTAATCCAGGGGCCAAGACAACCGGCGTCACGGCAGCTGACGTTGACCTGATCAAGATGCACAAGAACATGAAGCAGGCTTTCGACGGAATCGGTGCAAGCCGGGAGACGCAGCACAAGTTCATCGAGGTCTGGCGGTTGTTTGAGTCGGCGGTTGGCGAGCTGAGATCAGGAGACCATGACAGCCGCATGGCGGTGATTGCCAACTTGGCAAGGAACCTGGTGCGAAGGTCATGACCTGGACCAAAGGCATTAGACAGGGCAAATACATGCAATGATAAAGTGAGACATCAAAATCGGACCATGATCCGAGGCGGGTGCAAATGATCGTGTTCCCAACATCAACGGCATCAAAATGCTTCCGAACAGCAAGTCCGCGGGATATGGCAACTGAATTCCGAGCTATGACGATGGAAGCGACATGGGACCATTCATCCTGTCAGTGATGCGGAGTTTGTTTGAATTCGTGATTATCAAGAATAGAGGAATGGTACAAGATGATTTGAAGCTGAGAACCGTCGCTCTTCCTCGTGAGGCGAAAGAAAATCGCTCTGTTCAAGTAACCCAACAATCAACGCAGATCAAGCGATAGCATCTTCTACGATGCTCATCTTGGGCGCAACCGGCCCAGCAGGCGTTTGTTTGCTGCGCGAGAACCTCTTCCGCAAACATGCTACTATCGCCTACGTGCGTAATGCCTCGAAGCTTCCTGACGACTTCACCAAACCCTCCGCTTGAGGTAAGATGAACAGCTGCCTATTCGCATATTTCTGGAACCTAATCCAAACATAGGCAGTAGAAGGCCAGATGGAAATACAGACAAGCTCAGTCTCGTCGTTTCAAGGGCTACAGTTATTATTTCCCCTCTGGGACCGACCGGAAAGACTATAGAGGAGTATCCATACCCGGGCTATTACTCGACCATTATTCCGTTGGTGCGCCAGCACTCGGTCAAGCGCATCCTCGTCTTGGCCACCGTGTCCGTCGAAGACAGCGACGATAAGTCCTCCTTCGTGCGTTGCGCTTTGGTGACGGGCGTCAAATACAGGTTCGCGGCAGCCTATTGCACCAATGTGGCCATAGCAAAGGTATTCCGGGAGACTGCCGAGGGTGTCAACTGGACAGTCTTCCGCGTCGGCATGGTTCAGGGCGAGCATGACGAGGGGAGCTGGCGGAATGACAGGCAGGGTGTCGTCTTCGCGGGATCGGTCGGCGAGCCTGGCTAGACTTGGAACATCAAGAGGGGCGCTTTGGCGAAGTGGCTCATCGATCGTGCTGAGGTTCCGAACGAGACTCTGGCCAGCCGGACGCCTGCCGTGAGTAATCTCAAGGTATAGGATCCGGAACATCGGCCAGCGAGGAGCTCAGTATGGACACTTGACATTTAAATGGTGGCATTTCGGGCATGGGGTATTATCTGGGTGCACTCGTGAAATCAATTACTTATTGAAAGGAAATTTTATCATTTCAGCAGGCCACTCATCCAAGTGTTAGCGAAGTTCGTTATGTTAAATTTACAGAAGCCATATATGCCGCGACACCCACTTCATCGATCTTGTTTCCCACGTTGACGAACCAACATGTATGAATGCTCACGAACCGAACAGAATGGGTTGCTCGACTTAAGTAGAAAATTTAACATGCATCAGGTTGACTATATGATCACTTAAAATCGAGAAACATCTGTTTTGACCTCCTCCCCCTATTGGAAGCTCTGCGAAGGACAACTGTGAACGAGCTTACATGTATAGATGGCGAGCCGCCGAGATATCTTTCAGTGTACTTTTCAGATCCTCCCGGCTCAAACTTCGATATTATAGTGGTCTTGGCAGGCCGTCACGGAAGCCGTGGCCGGAGAGCCGGCAACGTGATACTCGGACGTAGCGGTG